GCAAGACCTACGATGGAATCTGAGTTTATAGCTCTAGATAAATGTAGTGAAGAGGTCGAATGGTTGCACAACTTTTTAGAGGATATTCCAAGATAGTCAAACCCTGTGCCAGCGATTTGCATATATTGTGACAGTCAATCAGTAATAGGAAGGGCACAAAGTAACATGTACAATGGTAAGTCTATACATATACGTTGTAGACACAATACCATTAGATAACTACCATCAACTGGAGTGATTACTATTGACTATGTAAGATCAAAAGATAACATTGCGGATTAGCTAACCAAAGAGTTCAATAGAGAGTTAGTTGGGAAATAATAAAAAAGAATGGGACTTAAGCCCTTGAATGAATAAATTATTATAAAAGAAACCCAATCTAGTTGACGGGAGATCCCAAGATCTATGTTCAAAGGGACAACCTAATTGTAAAGACTTAATAAAATCACCGTGTGAGTGTTTCCTCCTGTCCATTCCTATGATGCAACAGTGATGCTCGCAAGGATGAAAGATAAGCAATAGGCTTTTAATGATTTTTATGCGTTAAAGTTCGAGCCAAGTAATGTGGGTTACTTGTAATAAGAAATCACCTATGTGAGAGAAGTGGGGCTGCTTTTAAGATAATTATGTGAGGCCTAATTCTTAAGAACTCTCACAGAATCAAGCATATGTTCATGGCCAAAACGAGCACAATAATGAGAACTGAATTGTGTCAGGAAGAATCATGTGTGGAATATATCATCGTTTACATAAATGGCAGAACAGTTCAAAGACAACACGTCTACTGATCAGTTAGTAAAGTAAATATGCTTTCACAAGTGAATGTTCAAAGGGTAATACCTACCTATCATATGTAGGCTTAAACCATTGAACTTTATCATCACGTCTTGTGTCTCACGGTCTCGTGTCTCTCCCAATTTTCATTATGTGGGAGATTGTTGGAAAAAATGAGTAAATGACTCACTTTTGGCAATATTTTCGGTGGGACCCGTTGGTCCAATTTGAAAGATCAAAGTTGATTCGTGTTCTCCTCCATGAGAGTATCAAAATCATATATTTACTTGCCATAAATGAAGTTCGGGTGAATGAGAAATTGAAGTTCAAAGATGACCATTGAAAGATGGCTTAAGCGGAAAAATTGCATTAGTCCCACATAGGAAAAATATGAAAGCAAGAACCACTTTAAATATGGTTGCACATTGGAAAGATGTAATCATGTGTAGTATAGATGCTCTTTCCACATGCGCGACAGGGGATACAAATCATGGATCAAAATTGCCTTCGGACCTTGAACTTGTGTGCGGGCGTAACCTGCGTACACAAATGTCGAACCAAACGGAGCGAAAATTGGCCCATTTGGAGTGTCCACGTTTTGCAATTTTTTGCTTTCTCCAACTAGGGATGTCAAACGGGCCGAGCAACTCGTCGGCTCGACCGCTCGACTCGTGGGCGGCTCGGTCGTCGAGGCCACGAGTAGCTCGTAGGCCTTGTGCCCAAGAGCCGAGCTCGTGGGCTCGTCCAAAAAATTGAAATTTTTAAAAAAAAAGGTGAAAAAAGAATTTAAAATTTTAAAAAAAAATACGAGCTCGCGAGCGGCTCATGGGCTCGACTCGGCTCGGCCCACGAGCTCGTGGCTTGTGAGCTCACGAGCTCATGGGCCAAGTCGACCTCACCCCCGAGCAACAAGTCGAGCTCATGGGTTAAAGGGCTGAGCTGGCTCGACTCGGCCCATTGCCATCCCTATCTCCAACTGACCTTTGAGTTTTCGAAAACTGCCAAAATTCCAGCAGAAATTGAAGTGGGTCCAATGTTTATTGCAAGAGTTAATGGCAGATGACCGATTTATTTTATATATTAAATCTCATATTTTTTTCGACAATTCTAGCATACTCGAAAATACAGGAGAAAAAAGAATGTGTCTGCACACACAAAAATATAGTCTGCATATTGCATAATTTTTCTGTCTGTATACGTAATCTCGATTTGGCCAAAACGAGCACAATAATGAGAACTGAATTGTGTCAGGAAGAATCATGTGTGGAATATATCATCGTTTACATAAATGGCAGAATAGTTCAAAGACAACACGTCTACTGGTAATCTCGATTTCTGTCCAAAGTCGTGGTGGAGATATTGTTCGAATACAAACTCAGTTTGCTAGAGTAATTTCTGCAGTGCTCAGATTCTACGGGTTTTACCGTTATATTTTGGGAAACAGACACTTAGATTAAATCTCAAATACCTACGGTGAGAGGGCGAATCTGTTTTAAGGAACTGTGTTCGCACAGGTCTCGAGTTGAAAATTTATTTATTTATGCAATTCACATATTTATTTATTTAGCGATTTACATATTTACAGTTTAATCTTATGCTTCATAGATTTTCCATTTTATTTTGTTATATGTGCTTCATATAATTTCACAGTTTATTATCTGTATGTCGGGAAAAAAAATCTGAAGAAAATTAATTAATTTGATAATATTTGGTTTGATAGTTGTCCAATCGGTATTTATTTAGATAATATATGCATATACGGTGAGTAGCATATACGGTACGTTGCATATACGGTAAGCTCTAAATACGGTATGTTGCATATACGGTATGTATAAATCCAACATGTAAAGTTGATATACGATATAAATGAATCCGATTTCATCCACTACACTAAAACCCAACAAAAATGTATAATGAAATTTTTTTAAAAAATAGATCAAATCTACTTGCACATCTTGATTGACAAATCATAATTTATAAAAAAATGTAGCCATCTTGTATCATAAAATATTAACAAAGTTGTCAACAAATATTATAAGCGTTCCATGATTCTAATGTTTTAAAAAAGGACAATGTTACATGTACCGAATTTTTCTACCGAATCTTTTACCTACGACTCACAACAAGGGTGAGGACCATGGACAGTCATTTTTAAATGAAAGATGTTATAGGTACATTAATATTCGCAACTTTTTTACAGCGCACACAGATACAAATGAGTGAGATTCATGATTAAAATAATCGTGAACCCCACCTTTGAAATGATATATTTACTTGCCATAAATGAAGTTCGGGTGAATGAGAAATTGAAGTTCAAAGATGACCATTGAAAGATGGCTTAAGTGGAAAAATTGCATTAGTCCCACATAGGAAAAATATGAAAGCAAGAACCACTTTAAATATGGTTGCACATTGGAAAGATGTAATCATGTGTAGTATAGATACTCTTTCCACATGCGCGACAGGGGATACAAATCATGGATCAAAATTGCCTTCGGACCTTGAACTTGTGTGCGGGCGTAACCTGCGTACACAAATGTCGAACCAAACGGAGCGAAAATTGGCCCATTTGAAGTGTCCACGTTTTGCAATTTTTTGCTTTCTCCAACTAGGGATGTCAAACGGGCCGAGCAACTCGTCGGCTCGACCGCTCGGCTCGGCCGTCGAGGCCACGAGCAGCTCGTAGGCCTTGTGCCCAAGAGCCGAGCTCGTGGGCTCGTCCAAAAAATTGAAATTTTAAAAAAAAAAGGTGAAAAAAGTATTTAAAATTTAAAAAAAAATACGAGCTCGAGAGCGCTCATGGGCTCGACTCGGTCCACGAGCTCATGGGCCAAGTCGACCTCACCCCCGAGCAACGAGTCGAGCTTGTGGGTTAAAGGGCTGAGCTGGCTCGACTCGGCCCATTGCCATCCCTATCTTCAACTGACCTTTGAGTTTTCGAAAACTGCCAAAACTCCAGCAGAAATTGAAGTGAATCCAATGTTTATTGCAAGAGTTAATGGCAGATGGCCGATTTATTTTATATATTAAATCTCATATTTTTTTCGACAATTCTAGCATACTCGAAAATACAGGAAAAAAAAGAATGTGTCTGCACACACAAAAATATAGTCTGCATATTGCATAATTTTTCTGTCTGTATACGTAATCTCGATTTCTGTCCAAAGTCGTGGTGGAGATATTGTTCGAATACAAACTCAGTTTGCTAGAGTAATTTCTGCAGTGCTCAAATTCTACGGGTTTTACCGTTATATTTTGGGAAACAGACACTCGGATTAAATCTCAAATACTTACGGTGAGAGGGCGAATCTGTTTTAAGGAACTGTGTTCGCACAAGTATCGAGTTGAAAATTTATTTATTTATGCAATTCACATATTTATTTAGTTAGCGATTTACATATTTACAGTTTAATCTTATGCTTCATAGATTTTCCATTTTATTTTGTTATATGTGCTTCATATAATTTCACAGTTTATTATCTGTATGTCGGGGAAAAAAATCTGAAGAAAATTAATTAATTTGATAATATTTGGTTTGATAATTGTCCAATCGGTATTTATTTAGATAATATATGCATATACGGTGAGTAGCATATACGGTACGTTGCATATACGGTAAGCTCTAAATACGGTACGTCGCATATACGGTATGTATAAATCCAACATGTAAAGTTCATATACGATATAGATGAATCCGATTTCATCCACTACACTAAAACCCAACAAAAATGTATAATGAAATTTTTTTTAAAAAATAGATCAAATCTACTTGTACATCTTGATTGACAAATCATAATTTATAAAAAAATGTAGCCATCTTGTATCATAAAATATTAACAAAGTTGTCAACAAATATTATAAGCGTTCCATAATTCTAATGTTTTAAAAAAGGACAATGTTACATGTACCGAATTTTTCTACCGAATCTTTTACCTACGACTCACAACAAGGGTGAGGACCACGGACAGTCATTTTTAAATGAAATATGTTATAGGTACATCAATATTCGCAACTTTTTTACAGCGCACACAGATACAAGTGAGTGAGATTCATGATTAAAATAATCGTGAACCCCACCTTTATGATACAGCTAAATAAAGCTGTCAAACAAATGCCGTAAAAAACAGTCATTTTCTTTTTAAATACACGCAGAACCGTTGTACATTGTGAGAGGTTGTGAGAGGGCACGCCATTCGGTAACCCATCTGTACACGTTTATTTATCCTTTAAAAAAATGCTTATGGTCGACGCAAATCAGTGGGCCAGCGTTCATTCAAAAGCTCCCAAATTACCGTCAGCGCTAAATCCCCGCAACGCATTCCACCGACAGCAGCATAGCGAAAAACAGGCTGTCCGGAAAATTTTGCACTCATAAATCTGTGATTCAAAGCAATCCTTATCATTCACAAACAAAAAAATTCAAATACTCGCTTTGACTCATTGTCTTCTTTCTAGATCTGAAAATAATCTGGAGTTTCTCTCTTTACATCAAGTAAGTTTCTTTATACTTCCCTCTTCATTTTGATCATCCAGATCTAATCAGTAATTAAATTTTATGTATATGTAAATGGTACTATTCATCTGCATGGTTTTTTTTTTTTTGGAACTAACTTTGTGAGTTTCTTGTAGTTTTTTCCGCAGGGTGTTATTCGTGACTGAAAATTATGCCTGGGGGCGCCGATTTGCATCCGAATGGTGCTGAGGCAAGAGCATCTCATTCAGTTTGTGATAATACGATCAATGGCAATGGGAATTGCCGAAATGGGTTCGATCCGAACTCAAAGAAATTCAAGATTTTCATAGGGTACGATCCGCGGGAGGATCTTGCTTATGAGGTCTGCCGCTACTCTCTGTTGAAGATATCCTCAATCCCTATTGAGATAATTCCCATTAAGCAATGTGAATTGCGCGAAAAGGGTGTTTACTGGCGCGAAAGAGGGAAGTTAGAGAGCACCGAATTCTCATTCTCTCGGTTTTTGACTCCGTATCTGGCAAATTATGAGGGATGGGCAATGTTTGTGGACTGTGATTTCTTGTATTTACGTGATATTAAAGAATTAGTCGATCTGATTGATGAAAAATATGCAATAATGTGTGTTCAACACGATTACACACCTAAGGAAACGACGAAAATGGATGGGGCAGTTCAAACCGTGTACCCGAGGAAGAATTGGTCTTCAATGGTGTTGTACAATTGTGGGCACCCAAAGAATCGAGTGCTAACCCCGGAAGTGGTGAACAAGGAGACTGGCGCATTTCTTCATAGGTTTCAGTGGTTAGATGACAAAGATATTGGAGAAATCCCATTTGTATGGAACTTCCTTGTTGGACATAACAGGATTGTTGAGGGCAATCCGAGCACATTCCCCAAGGCGTTACATTATACGCTTGGGGGGCCATGGTTCGAGCAATGGAAGGATTGTGAGTTTGGGGATCTGTGGTTGAAAGAGTTGGAGGAGTACAAGAAGGAAGCTGAGAAAAAGTTGGATTAGGTGGATATATTAATGCCTTGATAATAATTCATTCAATAGCCGATGCAAGTAGGACTTGCCTATTTACCATTTGTTTCCTTGATTTTTTCCACATGTTCACTTAGAGGATGTCGACCGATGAAGTTGGTATTTTCTAGTAGTTATACATGTTCATGACATAGTTTAATCTATCGTTCAATTTGTGATGGTTCATGTCATTAATTTAATGATATTCTTGAGATCTGATTGTGGCAATAACAACTGTTAGCTAGTGTTGCTTGGACTAAAAAAAATGCAGATTGTTTAAAATGGATATATATTTACATTGTAATAGCTAATTAGATACAACATTAATGGTTTTCCCCCTACTTTTTGTAGTGTTGCTGTTGGGAATTCTTTCCATGAGTGAACTCAGGTCGATTTTTCAGTTATAAATTCGTGCATTTTCCTCTCTTTTGAATGGATATTTTTCGTATACTAGCTGTTCGTCTTAAACTTGGAATTCGTGCATTTGCTTCTCTACCGTATGCTGCTACAACTATCTTGGCTGAATCATCTTTGTGCTTCAGATATGTTACCTTGTAGCATTTATTCTAAAACGTCTTTTATTTCATCTGTTACTTCATGGAGATATGGAAAATTTTAAAAGAGGGAACATGAAGCTTACTCTGTAGTCTGTGAAAACTCTGTAAAATCAAGTTTTCTCATTTGAAATGTGAGTCATTCACTCATTCCTGAACCTGAACTTGTTTGTTTTGCCTTTGCTGAATAACTCTCAACGTCCTGTATCTGTTATGCTGTATTAATTTGCTCTTTTTTAACTGGTTTGGGGACTGCAAAAGTTACAAATTCCCTTATACTTGGCTTTCCCTGTGTTGTTATCAAGCTAGTCAAATAATTGACTTACAGTATACCTGAAGCTTTTCCCAAATGACTTCCATTCATGAGAAGGCTATCTAATTACTTCCTGTTTCAGGTTTAGTTTCTTTGATAAGGGATTTGCTACATAGATAATTCACTCTTTTGCAACTTCGTTCGGTTTTTTTATTAATTGGATCTATAATTGAGGCCATTGTAGCTCCATGAGAGAAATGTTACGGTTTTTTAGTACGAGTTGTACTCTGGTTCATTGTGAAAGTATGCTTTCGATAGTGCTCTATTGAGATATGACCTCTAATCAATGCCTATTGTATGCATGACATCATAAGTAGAGCATCGTCCATGTCGATTTTGTTATTAATTCTACTAAAGATAAACAAACAAACTAACACTATGGAAAATCACTAGAAAAATTGCAAATGCAGGATGATTCATTAAGACCAAAGTTTAAGTGTTAGAACGTACAATTTCACAATGGTAGTCCAATGAAATATCTCTTATCAAGTTAAGACTGTGCATTCATGTGATCATTCTAATATTTCTAATTTAATTTATATTGTGTCATACAAAATCAAAACTACTTTATACGTTAATTCACTATAGCTCCATGTGAATTGTAGCATTAGAAAAGAGGAATATTCAATTATAAAACTGCACAAATCATGAACGTATATTTTTATCTTCTATCCAAATTTGTAATTTTCGTATTAAGAGCAATAATATGTGTATTATCTCTTGAACTCCATACGGTTCTCAATTCAATCAATTATTGGTTAGATAACATAAAACATTAAGAATAATAACATAAACACCACATCGTATTGTATTTAACTTCAAAATTAGATATAATAATCAAACATTCATAATATGGTTACAGAATTAGCCCAAAATTCAATTACACATCACCAACTCGTAAATAAAACTCTGAGCATCACCTTATCTTCTTCAACTTCAAAATAAATCTCAAAAATCCTATTAATTTAGCCTCTGTTTGGCTAAATGAATTGTATGGTCAAACATTTTATAACAATACGTTTCAATAGACTAACAAGTGCTATCCATTTATCCATCACTCATCTTTATATATTTATAAATAAATTGTTTATAAATTATTTTCAAATGGGAACTACGTGTAGAATACAATTGTGTGAGTGAAGTCCTCATTTATATGCCAAAGACATGAAGTATATATCAATGTTCTAAAAGGCTCGACAAAGCTCCACCTAGGCACGCCTAGATATGAGGCATCTCAAAATGCCATGCAACAGTAATTGAAAGCTGAATTTGTTCAATTGATTGTATACCCAAGGTCGTATTATAGTCCTGAGCATTCTACTATCTATAATTGGATGGAAAAATAGTGTGGGACCCGTCAATTGAAAGAGGTACAATTGCCTATAGCAATTCTGCGAACTAGTTATGGTTTCCCAAAAGTTGTAGTAATATTTTGGGCCTAATTTGGTGATGTTGCTCCATCAGAGTGGACGTGTAGATGAGATGCGATGAGATGAATGGTGGTGGTCGATGGTAATGGGTGTCGCCAAAGGTAGTGTTCACAGTTTGTGAAGGGGATGAAAATCAAGGCTATTTTTGATAGATTTCTTTCTTCTAAAATGGTTGTTTGGCTTGGTTGTTACGGGTGTGATATCGCTGGTGTGCGGTACTTTTTAGTGGCTTTGGTTGTCGGCTGGTGGTGGATTTGGATTGGCTTTTTTGGTTTGGGCTTTTTACTTTTCCTCTTTTATTATTTTATATATTATATCAAGTTTACCTTTTTTATTTTTCTTTATAGACTAAGGGCCCGTTTGGTAGAGATTTTGAGAATTGATTTTTTGACCGTTAGAAAAAAAGTGGGGTCCACATGTGAGAGAAGAAGTCAAAAATTACGGCTTGAATAGTAAAATAACGGTCAAAAAATCAATTTTTTGGGGTAAAAAATCCCTACCAAACGGGGCCTAATTAAAATATGGTCAGAATCACTTTTTGAATCAAGTAACGGAAAATTGGACGGATTCCATCTAAAAGGGCCTCATATCCAACGTTTTGAAAGGTTTGGCTGACGCTACAACAAATGAAAGGTTAAGAGAAAATTGTTAGTATTTAAAAGGTTTGGAGCTTCTACTACAATTATCCCATTTAAAAAACTAAAACGCAAAGGTGGAAATAATTATTCACGTACTTTTTTCCTCTTTTTTACTTTTACCTACTTTTTGGAGGAAAATAAATAGGACATAGACAAATGTTTTAAGCATTATGAATGGCTATTATGTAGTGAAGGCTTGTTTGGTTTCAATTATTATTCATTATAATTAAAAAATCAAAAGAAAATATTTAATTTTACCATACATTCGTAAAACACAGAATTATTGCTCACTTATCAAATGTAAAAATGTGTCCAAGGATAGATCTGTAATTTCGTTTTCTTTCTACAGCCTTGGATACCATTTAATCGTCGCCGTTCTTGCCCATTTCTACTGCTTCAACTCCGACCACAATTTCTTACATTTTTACGTTCATTACGAAACTAATTCGCGCAAATTCTCTGAATTTGTGAAACTGAGGTATTCATAAAGATTCAAGAGGAGTATATGTATATATAAATGATGGGTGGCGCGTCGCTGGATGGATTGCAAGATCACCTGAAGCTGGCTAGAGAATACGCTTTGGAAGGACTGTATGACACTTCCATTATTTTCTTCGATGGCGCCATTGCTCAGATCAACAAGTATATATATCTCAATTTCAAATTTTTACCTTTTCCCTTTCCTTTTCGTTAGTACGTGTTTTAATATTCAGTTGCATCTGAATATATTTTAAATTTGAAGAAATGGGTTGATTTTGATTTGCATCTTTGATTTGAAATTTTGCTCTTTTAGAATAGACAGGAACTGGGGAAATTCTTTTCTGAATTTTAGAGTTTCAGTTTGTAAATTCTGATGTGTATCGAAAATTATTATGAGCTTGTTATGGTTGGAGCTCAACTTCAACCAAAACCAATTAATTTCCAACCAAACTCAACCAATAACGAGCAATTATAAAATCAAGATGCAGAGACAGATTGTAATTACTCAAATTGAAGGAATATAAACTGAAATTACAAACTAGAACCAGTTTATGTCCAACCAAAATCAACCATTCATTCCCTTAATTGAAGTTTCAATTACAGTGCCGACTTACAAGTAAAAAACAAAATATAAAAGAGAAATAGATAGACCAGCAGAAGAGAGAAAAGAAACAGAGAGATGGAGAACAGAATAAGAGCAGGAAGAGAAGAGGAAGAAGAATACCAGGTAGAGGAGAAACGCAGCAGCAGAGAGATAAGAAGAGAAGAAGAACAGCAAGGGAAAGAGGAGAAATGGCGGAGAAGAGGAGGAGAAGAAGGATACCAGAGAGAAAAGTGGATTTTTCACGATAATCATTCACACCCTTCTCCCAATTCCCTCTCTAGGTTATAATAGAAAACAAAAGCTTGAAAGAAGACAAAATAAGAAATGTGTTAACTTTTACAATATTTAATTTGAATCCGAAATGACACCGTTTCCCAAATTGAGTTTTAGGTAAAACTGTTGGCTGCATTTTCTTCTTCATCTGCTTGTCTTGCTCTGGTCTCCCTATTCCTTTCTTTCCCAACCTCAGTTGGCCTCCTTGCTTCTCCTCCTCATAACAGAGCTCAGATTCGAATTTGATAAATTTCTAACTTGGAATGGAAATTCGGGGAAAGTACATCGAAATATAGCTGATTTTTTTTTTTTATTTTGTATTTTTGGGGTTTTTAGCTTGTCCTATGGTTTTATGTATTACAGTTATAAAGCTAAAGTATCAGGTTATAAAAGTATTCTACATGTTTACGAAGAAATTGCTGTCATTAACTCTCTCGTGTTGAAATCTTTTGTTTAAAATTTCTTATATCTTGTTCTTCATTTTCCTGAATTTTAGGCATTTAAATACAGTCGAGGACCCTCTACTGCGTACGAAATGGATGAATGCGAAGAAAGCAATTTCAGAAGAAGCGGAGGTTGTGAAGCAATTAGATGCTGAGAAAAGGTCGTTCAAGGAGGTTCCTATTGGCAGGCGGCCTAATTCACCTCCAATTTCGACGAAGTCGTCCTTTGTATTTCAGCCATTGGATGAGTATCCAGTGTCATCAAGTGCTCCAATGGATGATCCCGATGTGTGGCGACCTCCTACTCGAGATCCTTCGAGTAGAAGACCTACAAGAACTGGTCAAGTTGGCATGAGGAAGTCACCACAAGACGGGACTTGGGCACGTGGAGGTTCCACAAAAACAGGAACAGCTGGTCGTGGAGGAAGGACAGGTGGCTCTAGTAAGTCGAACACCGGAGTTCGAGCATCAACTACTGCAAAGAAGGGAGCTGGGAAATTGGCCTCTGGAAAAGCAGATTCAGTAGTAAGTTTTTCTTCTGGAGATGTAGTTTGTTTAATGATGTTGGCATTTTTACTTATGGGTTGGAAAAAGTATACTCTTCTCTGTTATGAGGTACTAGGTTAGCTAACTAATTCTTTTGCTTTATGCAAGATCAATTGCCTAGGATTCTATTTGAGACATTGGTGATTAAATGGGGAATGTCACCCTTCCCTTATTGGTGGTTGGGAAGACTAGGAAGTGTTACCATTCAAATGACAAAATAGATCCATGACAATGTTATTAGCAGAACCATTACAATATACAAGCATTCCAACTATAGTTCTAATTAGCAATTAATGTACAAATTATCTAAGGTGTCTAATTAGAAAATTAGTGTAATGTCAGGTCATTTTATTTCATCAATGGTTATTAAGGTATGCACTGCACAATTCTTCTTCTCTCCACTTTTGATATGAGAAAAGATAATGAAAAGCGAGTGTTCATGTTATTCGAATGCCGTTGGTCAAGGAGGCATGTTTATTTCATTGTTATCTTTCAAAGCACAGCAGAAGTGTTGGTTCAGGCCAGATACACTTGAAGTGGTTTTTCTAATTAAATGTCTAAGCTTTTGCTTTGAGCATCTACTCTTGCTAACTTTTCTAGCTCCTAGAAAAGATGAATTCAAATTGTCCTACCAGCCGTTTAAAATTTAAATATTTACACCTCAATATGATTAAAATTTTTCGCCTCTCCTTTATTTGATGAACTCTATTATGACATTGAAGATTGGGGTATCCAAGATCCTGAGGGATTGGTGTGGTTATCATTTAGAGTACATAGTTACTGCTTCAGTTCATGTAAGAACTGTCCATGGAGATATTTGAGAGTCTGATCACATGGTCCTTGAGTTCTTTTAGCCATAGTTTTGTATGACCTATACTTTTACAAAGGGTACGTAGTCGTCCAAGATTCCTTGAGTTAATACTACTTGTTTTCCTATTCAATATTCCTTTTGATGTCAAAATTTAAACAAATGAATACACAGATTCAACAATAGAGAACCTAAGATGTTGGCAAGTTGAATGAAGATATGTTTGAATTTCCAATTGTGCATATTCATACAGACTTGTCACGTTTATCAGACTGATTATTAAGAGAGTTCTTGGTTTAGAATTTTGATCTGTTTATCTAATCATGTGATATAATTAAGGCTTGAACATTGTATCTGAGTTTCAATCTTCTAATCATTTCTTATGCAACTAAATGTCAAACAGTGTTCTCAATATCTTTCAACAAACATGCTAAACTTTTTGAGTAGTTTAATAATTAATTATTTATCTAAATACCTACAATTTTATTTTTAGTTTTTATTTATTTATTTTTATATGTAAATAGATTAACTTACCTGAAGTATTTCTCCTCTTAATTCCCCTTCTCTGTCCTTCTGGTTTCTTGATGTCCTATATTAGATATGTATTTTGCAAAGTTTATGCACAAATTTCTGTGCATGAAATCTACATACATAGTGGAGATTCATTATGCAATAGGAATATTGAAATTTTTCCATGAGGCCTTAGCTTTTGCCCTTTCAAAGGGAGTATAGAAATGTTTACTTACAGAGGGAATAGATATATTACTTACTTTGAGTTGCTGGCTTCTTATTACCCTGAATCCAGTGTAGGTTCTGTATTCACGATTGGTTGGTTGTACTATTCTTCATGTGCTTCTTTCTGATTTTTGTTGCAATTGTCAGAATGGTGATGATGCTGAAGATGGAAAGCCGAAAAAAGTGCAATATGAAGGGCCTGATGCAGACTTGGCTGCTATGCTCGAAAGGGATGTCTTGGAAACCAGTCCTGGTGTCAGATGGGATGATGTGGCTGGGTTGAGCGAAGCAAAAAGACTTTTAGAAGAAGCTGTAGTTCTTCCACTGTGGATGCCCGAGTATTTCCAGGTATCAGATATTAATCGAAGCTTAATAAATTTACTTTGAATCTTTTACCCCCATCTTCCTCAAAGTCACTTGATATTCTGTAGTTTTAGTATTAAATATGCAATTAATTTGATATGATGGAATCTCTGATGCGTGACGATGCACATAACATGTCAGCCTGTATATATCTCATGTTTTATTCTGCTCTCAGCTATATATTTGATGCGTGACGATACACGTAATATGTCAGCCCGTGTATATCTCAAATTTTATTCCGCTCTCTTCATGGCTGATTTCATGTCGCATTATTCAGAGCACGACAGTAGAAGTACTTTGGGCGATTCATTTATTGTTCCTTAAATGTAGAGAGAGATTTATATATCTAGACTTAAAATAGAGATTGTCCTTCCATTGCTCGTTCCCTACATGCATGGATTATGACATTTAATCTTTGATATGTATTTCGTTTCAGGGAATTAGGAGACCGTGGAAAGGTGTACTCATGTTTGGCCCTCCTGGTACTGGGAAGACACTTCTAGCTAAAGCTGTTGCTACTGAGTGTGGTACAACATTTTTCAACGTTTCTTCTGCTACCCTGGCTTCAAAGTGGCGTGGGGAGAGTGAACGAATGGTCCGGTGTTTGTTTGATCTTGCAAGAGCTCATGCTCCTAGTACAATATTCATTGACGAGATTGATTCTCTTTGCAATGCTCGAGGGTAAGAATTTTATTATTTTGTACAGACAATTTTTAAATTTGGCAAATGGGCCATCTTGCCTGATTTTATTCCTCTACAGTCATTTCAGCAGTTATGTGAGTTGGGGTACCCAAATGCATGTACGACATAGATCTGCTTACATTTCAATACTAATCGAATTCTCCATTTTAGTCCGCCGAATCTTTTTGGTCAGTCTGTTTTGTCTTGCTTGCATAAATACCTTACAGACACAATTGAACTGCCTTTATACTTGTACTTCAGATGAAGGAAAGCTTATTTTTTACTGTCGAATTCACACATGTTCATATGTATTTACGTCGAGCCCCTTTTTATGAAACTAATTTTTAGGGCATCAGGAGAGCACGAATCATCCCGACGGGTCAAATCAGAGCTTCTAGTTCAGGTAGATGGCGTCAACGCTTCTTCCATCAATGAAGATGGTACTCGCAAGATAGTGATGGTTCTAGCAGCTACAAATTTTCCTTGGGATATAGATGAGGCATTGAGGTCTGGTCTTGTTTCGTTCACTTTCTTCTTATTTGATTTTATTTCTTGATGTTCTTCGTAGGGTGGTTTTTGATCTGATACATCAATGATTAATGCAGGAGGCGACTGGAGAAGAGAATATACATTCCACTTCCAAATTTTGAGAGTCGCAAGGCGCTAATAAAGATCAATTTGAAAACTGTTGAGGTAAGTCTTACTGCCTAGAGGGCACCAGGCAAGTTTATTAATGGGTCCGGTTGGGTATTCATAAGGTCATGATTTGGGATTCTGCCAACTTGGAATTCAAATATATTATCAAAATTTAAACTGCTTTGAATGGCCGGAATCAGGTTTCTTGTGCTGGCACTATCATTGCTCAACTCACATCTATGTAGTTTTCGATTCTTAAGCAGGATATATATTCTTCGTTTGACAATTATTGGTAGATTCTCATTTTGTTTACTTGCAATATACGTACATGCTGAGATATCAGGTGGCTTCAGATGTGGATATTGATGAAGTGGCTCGTAGGACAAAGGGATACAGTGGAGACGATCTAACAAATGTTTGCCGGGATGCTTCTTTGAATGGCATGAGGCGTAAGATAGCAGGAAAGACACGTGATGAGATCAAGAACATGTCCAAGGATGAGATTTCAAATGATCCCGTTGCTATGTGCGATTTTTTAGAAGCCTTGACTAAGGTTCAACCAAGTGTTTCAGCAGCTGATATTGAAAAGCACGAGAAGTGGTCTGCTGAATTTGGTTCAGCGTAGAAGGGCTAACTCATATTAGTATTGCAATCCTCTGTTTTTTCGTGCCTCATTTCCTTTTGAGGTCACACTTGATCATTTTTTGGTTTGATTCTAAACCAGTGTTGATTATGATTTGATTGATGAGAGGTCTTTGCATTTTGTTTCCTGTGTACGAGTAACCATGTAGCAAAACCTGATGTTCATTCATATACTGACTGGAATTTCAGAATTACTATTAACCTCATTCAGTGCTGCTGAGCAATTCGTTTGGACAACATTTCCCTTCACTTATTATTTTGTTTTGTTTATTAAAAAGACATTAGCAGAAGTATATCAAGAACTGAATGTAGAATTATGAAATCAATCAACATAACTAAATTCAGACGAGGGACCCGAACATGGAACTTTTTTTTTTTTCTTCTTTTTATTATTTGGCTTAAAAGATGATGTTTTTTAATTTTTATTAGCACAACCAAACATGTTTGACCCATCGACGTAAATAAATTGTCAAACTGCATTATATTTAGCAAATTAATAGTCACAAACCGCAACAGTGTATAGTTATCTAGATAGTATCCAAGTAATAATTCAGCACTATCGCCTTTGGAAATTGATTACCTTGATGCAAAAGGCAAATGTGAAAACAAATATAATTGTGAATCCGACAATGACAACTGCAACTACTCCGAGAAAATCATGTCTGAATCCATAGAAACTTCTCAAGAATTCCTTCACTGTTTGCTGTGTGTCAAGCACGTCCTCCATATCACCAAACTGTGACACAAGTAGGCCATATAATGTCCAAGAAAGAGGACATGCCCAATAGTACCATCTCCACCACACTGGAATCCTCTGTTGTCAACGAAAGAGACCAATTAAGAAACAATTATATCTCGACTCAGGTCTCCAATCTAATTCTTGACTTGCAAGTTTCCCAACCTTTCAATATAGTTGCACAGCTAGTCTCCAATGATGGAAACTATCTAGAAGTCAGATGAATTATGTAACCCTCACAGGAGCAACATCGTGAAGAGAAAACCGTTAAGAGTTTTGCCTTAAGTAGAACGAACACGGACAAGCAATGTGGACACATGCTTTTTTTCTAAAAAGTACGCCACACACAGAGACAACTGGATTTAAATTTTTTAATACATTAAATTTATATATTATATCTTTATTTATTTAATTTAAAGTATAGTATACGGCAAATTCAATGTCGACCATTTACTCGAGGAATATCCATTAAGTATCTGAACATTAGAAATATCAAATATACAAAAAATAGGACATATCACGTGGCTTGTCAGACCCATGTCATGGATATAGCCCCCGCTTGGCCCCCATTCTATCCAAATTTTATTGGTTGGAATAGTATTTTTTTGAAAAATGTATGGTTGAAAAAGAACGAAAAAATTTTGTTTTACGTGTAATATTATTTTATGGAAAATTGTGTGATTAAAAATAAGAGAGAGAAAAAGAATGAAAAGGAGAATGGGGGCCAAACGAGGGCATAATGTCAGACACGACATGATGTGTATTGAACATGGACACCGCCTTTGTAGGAGTGTCAGTGCACCATAGGAGTGCACTTCATAAAGTTGGCCATAATATAGCGTTATGATTTAATAGAGTTTAGAGTTTTGGATGATATGCATCGTTGGTGACTAGTTGTGCAACTATATTGAAAGGTTTGG